AATCAAAAGATCTGTCGAAAGGACGTTTCACGCCGCCAAGCTACACATAATTTTCTCAACTAAACCAGTACTCACACAACTAATCAAGGATAGGTTACCGAAGATGGGCTCTTCCATGTGCTCCTGTGGAGCTAGTTACATAGGCCGTACTCAGAGGGCTTTCTCCTTGCGTGTTCGTGAACATGTACCAGCTTGGTTGGGAAAAGGAGTTACCAAATCAATTAACAGCATCATTCTTTCTCACTTGGTAGATAGTGAACATCATATAAAAATAGAGGAAGCTTTCTCTGTTTTATATCAAGTTCCAAAATATCTACCTCACGGAGCTAGATTACGACTGCTTTACATAGCCGAAGCCATCTGGATCAACTCCAGAAGACCAAATTTATGTATCCAGAAAAAATATATCCAGCCTCTTTGTTTACCTTGGCCTACGACTGGATCATCAAATACCTAGACTGAATATTATAAACCTCTTACCCCCTTCCTCTATTTTTATTGATTTAATTTTTTTCCCTATTATCATTATTTTTGATTATCTCTATCTTAATCTTCACATCCATCATCCCCAATTCGTTTATCGTAATTACCTTGATAACACCCTCCTTATTACATATTATATATCTCAATTGACAAGATTAAATTCTCCTAATATGCATTTTATTCACACAATTTTTTTTGCATTTTCAACTTTGCTATAATACTATTCTCTACTTATTGTGACTGAACACTTTACTCCAAATCATCCTGACCTTTATTGAATGACCTTTCTAATTTGTTATATATTACAATTTCGAATTATATATATATCGTAACAGATGCAAACGTTTACCATTTTTAACATATAACATTGTCAAATTCATTATTACATGTCTTACTTTTGGCCTTTGTAAAATATTAGAACTATGGACTTATAACTGTAGAGCCTGATGATGAAGTTATTGAAAACAATTGTTTACTTAAAGATTCTTCATTTTCGAATTTACTAATTTGGAAGAACATTTCTAATATTTGGGAATTAATGAAATGAGATATGTTACTCGTATCACACTATCAACTGATACTATGTGATAATACCAAGTGCAGGATTTCTGTATACAGGCGTCATTTTCTGGGGCGTTCTGTTGACCTCGTGCTAATTGTTTTTACAATAGTTGAGAATTTGTGGCTCCTAGTTGGACTCAAACTCACATTATCCAGTGCTATAATTGAACTGTGCATTGATCTACTACACGACTGAGAATGTTCTTGTCATTGATCATTAACAGTAAATAATGTCATATTTTCTAATCATTGGTTCTAATCAACTTCTACTCATTAAGTTACAACTCGAAATGATATTGGTTAATATTAAATGGTCAATTAAAAATATATCAAGTACTTGTGAATCGGAAAGAAACGAGATTCAGTTAATTGTATATTTTTACACAATCTGTTCATCAAAAGAAACTGAACCACGCCATACTTTACCTATAATCATGAAAACCAAAATGACAGACACTTTAGTTAAACTTATAATGCTTGTATATTAAGGCAATATCGAGGCATACGCACAGTATGCACATATGCCAATAAGAGACTGATCAATTTCAGTCCTAAAACATCAATGGGAAGATTCAAGTAAAACAATATCAAATGTTGACAAATGTTTCAAGAAATGACTAGTATAGGTTGTACGTAAAACATTAAAATTATTTTAACTAATATAAAATTGGTAAATACTATCGACTGATATTTTGGACTTTATATATGTTACATAAATTACAATTCGAACAGTGTATTCAGCAACAGATGAAATTATCTTACATTAGCGATCAAGCGCTGTCGAAAAGTAATATAAAATTACAATGATTATCCTAGTCCCTTTTTTATTAGTCCAATAGTGTCTAGCAGCGGAATGTATGATGGGTGTTTCGTTCTAACTGGAAATTGTCAATTGGATATACCCGAATCTCAAGGATCGAACCCAGTACCTTCCGCTTAAAAATAAAACTATTCTAAACATTTAATCAAACGGTATACTTCGAATTAGTGAAAACTTAAAAGCTAAAACCAAATGGCGCAAGTGAAAAAACTTTAAGAATTTGTAGATGAACAGAATAAATATTAACTCACCGGGCTTATATCATACTAATTTTGTTTTCAATTTTAGTCTCACTTAAACCACCAGTAAGTGTTAGCAATGTTTATTAAGATGAACGTTTTGAGGACCATGCATAAGCTGAAAATAATTTTTGATAAACAGTCACAGAACTAATGAGAGTCAAATGATACTGAACAGCTGATTTGTTTTGGTTTGATACTACTCGGCAGAGTCCATTCATAATATCACAACGAGTCGGATAACATTAAATATTGAAGTTAGTATTTCATGGTCTCCATTTTCAACTTAAGTCAATTTGATCTGATCTTTACTCAGTCTCATTGATGGCTTACTGAATTATGAGGTACATTTGACTTCATTCACACCTCCGTTTCCACTCTATGATGATAAAATAATTTTCATAAGAATTTTAGACATTTTAAGAGCCATTCCACAATTTTGTGTAATTCAAAGTAAGACTCAATAATTTTTGAATTTCGTAGAAAAAAGCTGAAAGCCAGTTCATCAATCGACGGTCGTACTTTTAAGATGTTGTATGTAATATAAAGTCAAATCTGTACGATGCCAATTCAATTTATTACCTAAATTTTCTTTTTTACTCACTAAATTCAAATTTACTAAAAGACTTAATTGGATGAAAATATAATCTATTTGTTTATTTGTTTAGATGTAAGCAATAGTTTATACGGTGTAAATATATCTTCATCAACAATTACGTCATCAGCGCCAGATTGTTATGCATTAAATGATTTATCTTATTCGTTACACCAACCGCAACATGTTGGATTTACTACTTGTCGTAATAAAATTAATCCTGCACTGCATGAAATACCAACAGTTACAATGAACCTTTACAATACTACTGATAATAAAAGTAGCATTAGTAAGAGTTATGACAAACATTTTGTGAATTTATGGAATATGGACTCACCAACGGTTATTGGACAAACAACAAACTCACTTGAAACAAAATATCCAACTCAATATTCTCATTAGGGATAGAATCGGGATATACAATCAAAAGCATACTGAGAAAATACAAAATTTAATTGGAGATTATTCGGTTCTATGACAATAATAATAATAATAAGACAATAAAAGCTTAACTTATCAGTTGTTTCTGAAAAACTACTGGATTATAACTGTGTGCTGAATTCATATTCACATGGATTTACAATAAACAACTTGAGGTAATAGACTACATATTTCGTTTCCATAAATAATATGTAATTTAAAATTTCAGAAAATAAATTTGTATTTATTGGCGAATTAATAAGACTTGAATTTTATGCAGTAAACATAAATTATTCATTTATATTTACTAAAGGAAATCGTGGAGTATAAACTGAAGATGGGACTTTGTGGTCAGAGAGTTCAACGCCCATCTCTTAGGTAGTTTCACAAACTGCAGTTCAATAGTTGGGTAGTATCACTAATCACCAAACTATTTGTGTGACCAAAAGTTTAGTACATAAACTTGTACTTAGTAAATAAAATACATCTCATAGCAATTATATGGATTGTTTCTAAATCCAGTTTTAAGAGCTTTTAGAGTAAATAACAAAATGATTGAAATGTAATGGATCTGTAGCTTAGTAGGATATTTTGGTGATGTGTTATGTGAGCTGGACGAAATTACCAACCCTTCTTCCGGAAGGGAGTGACTTTACTTCAGGTGTCTCAGTTCCCTTTGATGACAAGAATTGTGGTGGACAACCCGCACAGACTCCGTCATACATTGGTCTTTCCATTCTAATTGATTTTATTAGGATGAACAAGTGTTGGGGACGATAGATCCCCAAGCTCATATTTTAAAATTTATCTTATCGATTAAATGTTAGATATTTTTTATTGGGGTCAATTGATGAACTATCGACTAAATGCGCAAATAGGTCAATTGATGAACTCGTTGATTAATGTTCAAAAAATTTTTTATGACAATATCGATTGTAAATAATTGTATAAATACGCTTGATTTGACTTGTTATCTGCTGTTTGTCTGTAGAATACACTTTCTACACCTTACCCAGACTTCTTGGTCGAGTTAGCAGAGTTGGGGACAACGAACCAGAGTAGCTATCGAGTCGCTGAATCATTGATCCTTCGTTCGTTCGAGTAAGACGCATCAGTAACAGCATTCAAGCAATAACGAAACATAACAACAAGAGACTGATTCACCACTATCATGTACATTAACGAATTAAATATCGATATGTCTACTGATTGCGGATTGAATTAAATACCATGCTGTAGCATGATTTGAGTTTCCTGTATTCCCAATCCCGGCAATGTCTAGAAAAATAGTTATTCCGTAATTGCGCACATTTCATATGATTATACTTTCATACAACGTCATTTTTGGTACACGGTAGCACAAAAATCTCCTTATACCAGTAACTGGTGGCTTAAACACTAACTGGAGTATGTGACGGTTTACTATACTCTTGTGAGAAAATTGTGAGTCAACTTATGAGAATATTCTATTAAACATCTTTCTTCTTGCATATCCTCTTAGAGAAATGTATAGGTACTTAGAATTCATAAACACAAGTAAAAATGCAATTGCTTTCTAAAATGGATATACACTTGTACGTAGCTAATTCATTTTTGCAGCACTCTCTAAAGGATCGACTTCAAAATAAGTTGATCGCAGACAAACCATACAGATAAAATTTTGCAAAAAAAAAAGAATGGACAAGTCATTTTCCTAAACTTGTAGTACATAATAGGAATATATGGCAGAATTCTCATATAGTTATTGTTCTATAATAAAAATGTACAAATATATTTCAAAATATTAAAAAAGAGAATATGACACCCGTGTAATCACAGGGAAAAAAACAACATCTGAGTTGATCAAACACTATGAATATCTTCAGAAATAAAGTACATCTTTTCATATAACTTTAGATATATTGTTGATATAAACCAATTGAAAAGTAATAGCAATACATAGAATTAAAACTGGAAAAATTAAAATTTTATGACGAATTGGTAACAAATTATTATTGGTTGACATAGTCACCTGGTTGTTTATTATTTTTCTTTGAGAGAAATAATTTGAAAGTGAACGAGGAGGCAAAAGAATTTGAGCATGTAGAAGATGTTTTTTAGATATTTGATTAGAACTATCTTGACGAGCAATTTGAGCAGCATGTTGAACTACTTGGACAACTTCTGCTCCTGTATAATTATTCAATTGATTTGTAGCGAATAAATTTAACCATTTAGAATTTAATAATGATTTATCTTTTAGTGCACGTTTTGATAATTCTAAACGTAGAATATCTGTCCGAGCTTCTGCATCAGGAGGTGATACTTCAATGACTAAATCAAAACGACCAGCGCGACTTAATGCCTGGGAGAAAAGCATAAGAAGTTATTTCTAGTAAGTTGAAGATAATCAACAAAGAATAATTGTAATTCTTTTTGTAAACAGATGTGAAAATACGTACGAATGCAGAAAATAAATCACTGAACCTAATTTAAGAATAATTCGATTCAGTTGGCCACGACTTACGCATGTCCAGCGAAGGAGGAAGTGATCAACAGATAATGTGATCGAATCGAGGTAATGATATCAACTAGAGTGAACGGTATACAACTGGTTTGAATAACGTAGAGCAGTAGACCTAGAGGTTACGGTGTTTAACTTCCAGCCACCAAGAACCTGGTCTGAACCCCCGTCCACCTACTTCGGTTTAGGCAAACTGATGTCATCATTAGCTCTCATACTTAGAGTGTCGTTTATATCCAGGTACATGATGAATGAATTAATTTTTAACCGAACTCCAACTATATATATTACAATTATTCCAAACCTCAACAAAGAATTCTACATTTCCCAGCACGACAGATCAATATTGGCCTATTGCTTCATGAATTGTTTTTTTTACCGTTCCTAACTCATGTTTCAGACAGTAATGCGTGTTGAAGGGTGGTGACTGGGGATGTGTGAAATACATTCTAACCATCTCAGAAGAATATTTTATCAATCAATTCGACATTTCTATACAATTATGTATCAGGATTAAATTTACACGATACTTGATATCGCAAGGCTAAAATTCATAGCAGATGCCAAGTGATTACACCTATTTACTTTTTGCCTGTACTCCTATACTGATTAAATGTGACACGTTTCTCTGAATAAGGTTGATGTAGACGTTAAATCAGTTTTCGAGGTTTATAACTAGCTTTTGGTGGGAAATGAGATAAAAGTAATTACCTTGTCAATATTAGGCATCTTTTTAACGTTTGCCTTCTCAAACATCTTTTCATTAACTGAGACTTGTTTTATAAGCTTGAGAAAGTCACTATGTATCATGTAGGAAATCGACAACAATTGTTTGCTCACTTTTGCTTTAGACATCTTGATTATCAATCCAACTGGAATTATCTCTCTTAATGTTGTAGGTGCCAATCACATGTGCAAGTTTCACTTACCCAGACATTGAAAGTCAGCAGTAACAAAATGCACTTTGAAATCTAACTAGGACATCTTCTTGATAATTATCTGCTACGTTTGAAGAGATTACGATATCACCTGAAGCCGACGAACGGAACGAAATCAGCAACACAACAACAGGAAAAGCTAAACTATTCCAATGAACCCCATCCCTGTTAACTAGAGGGAGAACACCGGATTTAGCCGGGAGAATGTATATTACACAAGCAGTCGAAAGCACGAATAAACAAGCCCACAACTCATGCGTATATATACAGTACAAAAATGTCCTTGACAAGCGTCACAAAATAGCGTACTAAAAAAGGGAACGAACCAATGACATTTAAGGTCTTTCTGAGTGGGAAATAAAACTGGAGCTAAAAGTGGTAGTTTTTGGCATGAAAATGAGAAACTCAAGTTCCCAAAATAAAATTGGGATATTTACCAAGTGAATTCTGTGGATCTAGCATTCCCAACATTATCCAAAGTCCCAAATGCAATTTTTATGGGAAATTACGTTTTGACTGTAGTCCAGTTAAAAGTAGAGGAATGATAAACAATGGATCTCTGCTAAATTAATAAATGTTTGGTGGGACACGAAACCTGAAGGTCCACAAGTGAGTTCAGTCCTGTGTGGGGTAAGCGCATTTAGCTGAGGAATTTCAGCCTAAGACAAAACGATCGATTACTACTCGCTTGTTTTTAATGGTTATACAGATTATAACCGCCAGTTATGAAATCTGTTTTTAAAAAGTTAGATCAAACAATAATTACTCACAGAATCTAAATTATCCATTCTGTTAGTTGCTGCTACGAGAATTACTTGTCCATTTTGACCTTCAACTCCGTCCATAGCCATTAGGACTTCACCTAAGACATGTTCACTTGCACTTGTTTCTCTAAATAACAACGAGAAGTTTCAAAAGACATCAGAATAAAATATTCAGAAAAAGATAAGATGTATGATTAGACCACAAATCAAATTTATAAAATGTTTGAAGTCTGAAACGGATGAGGTAACTTTCCTCTTGAGAGCCTGATTCAAACTATTTAGCTATTGCATGCCCGGAAAAACTCCCAGGAGAAATAACGGGATTATTTAAATTCCGAGACTTTCACTCACATAATTAATATCCGATAACTATGTAAACCAAACACTCAATTTTGTGAAACTATCTGTTTATATTTAGAGTTGGACGATGGCAGGATTGGAATTCAGGGCGCGCATCTTGTCCTATTCGGGACTCGCCAGTTACCAGACAACCTATGCAAATGAATTAGTTTATACCTTAACAACAGTGCAGAAAGTTATGATACAAATTAAAACATTAATGACATTAGCAGCTATTTACAGGTAGTATGTATACTAGGATTTAAGCCCGACCTAAATTGTGAAATTTAATAAGACGCTACTCCACTATCAGAAAGAAACAGGGTAAGACAGGCTTTAAATGCCCTGTATCAAGTGACAGATTAATAACTAAAAAATTCGAGAAAGAATCCTACATCTTATTTTGATAAGCTTGAAGACTTCATGGCACTTAGAATTACGCATCACTAGAAAATAAAATGATACAAATCAATGACTACATGTATAGATTTGGATACTAGTGTTCGAGACTAAATTAATTCATCAAGAAAGAAGTTAGATGGACTATAGCAATACTATGTAGATAAGTATTACAAACCCTGAATTTCGGGAAGGAAGCAACAAATCAATTTCATCAATAAATAAAATAGCAGGAGCAGAAGCACGAGCATGTACAAGAATTCTTCGCATGTTACGTTCACTGTCACCAACATAACGACCAAATATTCTAGATGCCTGAACTGCGATTAGCGGGAGTTGACATTCAGTAGCCAAAGCTCGCACAAACATAGTTTTGGAACAACCTAAGCACAAAAGATAAAAATCTCAGTATAAATGAAAACACTGAGTGAATAGTGTACAATCTAATACATTAGTTTAAAAAAGTTCCATATTACGTGACAAAATAAGTTTAATGATTCAAAATAATGTGCAGACTCAAGGGCTATATCAAAGCTGTATGAATAACACTTTCTCATCTTTTTAGATAAGTTATCAAAAAGCATACAGTTACTGATAAATCTTCCGACTGAACGCTTGAATCTGTTTCCTAAGCTCTTTTAATAACCCTAGACTAGCTCTACACGACAACTTGAACACGAGAAAAGGCGCGAAATATGGAAAGAACGCTTTACTCCATGGTTAGTTTATGTGAAGGAAGTCTAGAGTATTTATAGCATTTCAGATGACTTTGGGTTTCTGAAACTCTTCCAAACATTGTGGTAGGATGGGTAATCGTCCAATCAGAAATGTGATACACGACTCTGAACCTTCTAGATGTTTCTGAGAAACTTCGACTTGATGATGGTTGGATAAAATGATTCCCAGTATTTTCAGGGCAACTTTGGGCTTTTTTTGAGGAATTTTCTAGGTCTTCCCAACACCTTCCTCCTTCTAAAAATAAGACTTCTCCTTCGAGTCTACTTGAAGCTTGATGACTGGTTTCCGACAGCGTTTCGACCTCTTTGATGTCCAGTGACTATGAATGTCCTTGAAAGTTCCTGTCATTGGAGTACCTGTAATTATCTCCGGTGGAAGATTCACTCGTCCATCTACCGTGTTCAACGTCTTTTTTTCTTTGTGGATTTGATTAACGTATATAAGCCACGTTCCAAACGTCCCGCACAATTTTTACAAAACATTTCCTATTCTATTTTCAAAGACTACAGGTTTTCAACGACTTTTTCCAAGGTATGACTTGATGACCACTTGATAACCTACGTTAAAACTTCGGGTAATCTGATTTCGTCTGCATCTATCAACTGGTTCAGCCGGCAACAGGGTTTCTAATATTGGGAATACAGAATAAAATTTAAGTTTGCAGAGATGTTTGGCAAACAAAACTTACCAACACCAAACATAACACAGTAACATGAAAATTGAAAGTAAAAAGCATATACTAATTATAATAATCATCGTGTGCTCACTAGTCACTGGCTTCATAAGGCATTTCCTGGAGTTCTAGTGAGAAGCAGTGACCAGTTCAGCCGGATCTGTTATGAGATAGTGACTCACTGAAGACAATGGAGGATGGTGGCGCAATTTCGTGGATTGATTGAAATTAGACATTAACACCGTTAGATGCCGGCTCAGTGGTCTAATGGCTAAGCGCTCGCGCGCGAGACTGATAGGTCCTGGGTTCAAATCTCGCGAAGCGGGATCGCAGATGCATGCCGCTGAGGAGTCCTACAGCAGGACGAAACGGCCGGCCAGTGCTTCCAGGTTTTCCGTGGTGGTTTAGCTTTAATTGACTCATTAATTCAACTATTCAATTAATACAAACTCTTTTCTGATATTCTGGGATTCGACGATCGAATATGGCGTGAGCATAAGAAACACTAGTTTACAGAACACTAACAGGCACTGAAGAATTACATACCTACGTTTTGCTGAATACTTTAATAATGACGAAATGAACAAACCTAATACGTAGTGGTTTCAGTAACAAATTTATTACGGATATGTGTTAATAACTACAGTGGTATTGTTGAGTATTTACTAATAAAACTAATTGTAGGCATTTATAATTTATAGAATGAACATTATTGAAATAAATGTACACTGTGATTAACAATCCCGATTTTCCAAAATCACACTGAAATGGTAAATTAGCGCTTTCTAATTAACACGAGTTTATTTGCCGATATGTTTTTAACAGTTATCTTTTATCTAAAATAATGAATAAGATCGTATTCCACATTTTTCTGGTTTCGGTCAGCGATGAAGCACATTAATTCCGTGGCCGTTGTGAGATTTAGACGATTCAGTTATGCAAATAAAATTTTATAAAATGTAAATTAAAAACTCGCAAATGGAAAGTAACTTGCCTGGAGGACCATGAAGTAATATCCCACGAGGTACACGAAGACGCAGAGCAGCGTCCGCTTGTGCATCTAAGCTATTGGGTTTGGCAGCACTAACCAAACGATCCTGTATCATAGTTTTGAATATGAGCTTCAGTTCACGATATCCACCAATATCAGTCCACCTTAACGGTTCCACTGAGGTTATATGTTGAGAAAGATTTATCGGCAAATATGAATAAGATTCATTTATCAAAATTTCACAGAACAAATTCAATGATTGATTAAAGTTTCTGGTTCTGGGGAAATCCTTTGAACTGTCGTTCTGTTTGGATAGGAAGGTTGCGTAGCTGACATGAACCAAGCGAACCAAATCCCTTTAAAAAACGACAGAATCAATAAGTAAAATTATATGTCCGGAAAAGTCGAGCTTTATGAATCATCCCAACTCAAAACACTAAATGATAAAAAAGTATTTACGACTCCAAAGTAGGTTTCGTAAATGATATTTAATTTAGAACACAATTAGCATCAATGCAAAAAGATGATTATTACAAACTACGACTATTAACAAATGACTTAATCAGTGCAAATCATAAAAACATCAAAAATATATTGTAGTGTTAACATAGAGATTCTATAGAAATACAGTTTTCGAATGAATTAGTTCATCTAATAAGTACAAAACCTCCTGCATATGTCAAGCTATGAAGTCCCTGAAAGATAATCTACTAAATAAGTTATGTGGAGTAATGACAGAGTTAGTCATTTGACGAACAACATACGTCTATTTCTTTTATACGTTTATTGAGAATAACCACATAAAGAAAACAAGACAAACAAGAAGTGGCGGCACTAGAATACAAATTTCATTTGTGTATATGATCAGTCACCAATTACTCCTAGAGTTAACAGAATTTCGAGAATGGTTTAACCAAAACATAACACATATCCATTCCAGTTTATAAATTGGTTAAAGTTGGCGACGTAGAGTTCCTGGTTGGAGTCTACAGTATAATCATAATCTCAACAAGTGGAGACGTTGGGTGACAAGGTTCAAATTAGTTGCTATAGTTCCTGTATATTCATCTTTTATTCTTCCTTTTATCTTATATTCTTCTATGTATCTTATTTAGTGACTTCGTTATTTTCGCGTTACATCCCCAAGAATAGTTTTTTCAGTCACTAATGGTATTATTTCTACTTGCTGAAATAATACGAGTTGTGATAATCTGGATTGATGAATTCCAGTGTTAGGTTCCAGACAGTGAAACTGGCTGCCTTCATCCTGGTACGGCCAGGAGAGGGGATAGTCCGCTCTCCCTCTGAAAATGATCTCACATGAACACGCGTATCTAACTTCTGCCAGGGAAGTCCTACCCACTGCCTCCTCGTGACAGGGGTGTTGCTTACGACATTGAGAAGACGGAAAGCGAATGTCTGGCGCCTTAACCGGGTTGGTGGATATGGAGAGTCCACCTAGGGGAGTTGGAAAACCCTGATTCCAAACCAATCGTGCAAATGGGCTCCAGTATCCTAAAGAACAAATGGCGTATGAACCAATTGTTGGCCACCGGCTACCATGGGACTGCATCTCCTTACGTTGCTCCACTGTCTTGTGGATCAGACCTTCATGTCGAAGGCTCCAGGTGTGGCCCCTAAGAAAACCACCTGCTTGCGTTTGGACGCCCGGGCACTATCACAGTCCACGCACAAATAAAATCAAATGACAACAAATACCGGAAATACTGTTCTCGCTTCTATTAAAATTCAAACAACTCACATCCATCAGATAACATTCATTTTTATTTTTTTTTATATATTGCGTCACTTATCGAACTCCGCCTGTACCTCTTCCAGAGTTACTGCCGGTCCCAAGCCCGGGTAAAGGAGGAGGGTTGGGCATGGAGTTAGCGTCCCCATTCCGTAGAAAACTAACTCGCTAAAAAAACGCCTACCAGAAAAAACAATCCAAACCATTTAAACTCTGCCCTGGGAGTTAGAAGGTCTTCAGTTAGAAGAATTATGACGCTTCATGGTGAAAGCCGAGTTCCTTCGGAAGCCACGAGGCCGATGCCCCTTCTAACAACTAGAGCAAAAATTTTTATAGGCACATGGAACGTTCGAACAATGTGGGAAACCGGGAAGACCAGTCAAATAGCAATGGAAATGAGGAGATACAACTTAGCAGTACTGGGAATCAGCGAAACCCACTGGACCCAAGCTGGACAGAAAAGGCTAGCTACGGGAGAGATGCTGCTATACTCCGGTCACGAGGAGGACAATGCTCCACACACTCAGGGAGTCGCTCTTATGCTGTCCAAAGTAGCACGAAATGCACTTGTAGGATGGGAGTCTCACGGATCCAGAATCATCAAAGCATCATTCAAAACAAAGAAGGAGGGGATCTTAATGAATATTATCCAATGTTATGCACCCACCAATGATAGCAACGACGACATTAAAGATCAGTTCTACGAGCGGCTGCAGTCAATCATTGAGAAATGCCGAAGAAAGGACCTAACTATTCTGATGGGAGATCTAAATGCCAAAGTCGGAATAGACAACACTGGATATGAAGATATCATGGGACGACATGGACTGGGTGGGAGAAACGAAAATGGAGAAAGATTTGCAAATCTGTGTGCATTCAACAAATTGGTCATAGGAGGCACAATATTTCCACACAAACGTATACACAAGGCTACATGGATCTCACCGGACCACACTACAGAGAACCAAATAGATCATATTTGCATCAACAAAAAATTCCGAAGGACAATGGAAGATGTGAGAACCAGGAGAGGTGCTGACATAGCTTCAGATCACCATATAGTTGTGGCCAATTTAAAACTGAAGCTAAAGAAGAACTGGACAACTGGACAAACAGCACTACAAAGGTTCAATACAGCCTTCCTTCGAGATACTAACAAAATCAACGAATTCAAGATAGCTCTCAACAACAGGTTCCAAGCCTTACAAGATCTACTGAAGAAGAAGAAACTACTATGGAGGACAACTGGAAAAGTATCAAAGAAGCATTAACTTCAACGTGTCAAGAGGTTCTGGGTCTAAAGAAGCAACACTATAAGGAATGGATCTCTATGGAAACACTGGACAAGATCAAAGAAAGGAAGGACAAGAAGACAGCAATTAACAACAGCCGAACACGAACAGAGAAAGTCCAAGCACAAGCTGAATACATAGAAGCAAACAAGCAAGTGAAGAGGAGCATTAGAGCCGACAAGAAGAAATACGTGGAAGAACTAGCAACGACGGCAGAAAAAGCTGCTAGAGAAGGAAATATGAAACAGCTTCACGATACAACGAAGAAACTAGCAGGGAAATACAGTAAACCAGAGAGGCCGGTCAAAGACAAAGAAGGCAAGCCAATCACCGAAATTCAACAACAGCGTAACAGATGGGTAGAATACTTCGAGGATTATTTATTTGGACACATGAATATTGGTACAAGAGAGCGCCAATATATATGCGCCACACAAAACAATGAAAATTCGAGAGGAATACAAAGAAAGAAAAAAAAAGCTAAGGAGCGCAACAAAAAAAGGGAGAACAATAACGAAGAGATTGGTGTAAGGTAATGTGCTAGTAATCAGGGAACGCAAAGGTACAATCGGAAGAAATCTTTCAGGTAAGGGAGACAGAACCACTTTTTATGAAGAAAGTAAAAGAAGGTTACAGCAGGATCGCCACTGGCTTCTATTCTGAGCCATATCTGATAACGTCTCTAGCCACTGTGTAGCACCATCTCTCGGACCCCAACCAGGGAGTCGTGAAGGACCAACACAAGCCAGTCCTTTGCAGCTTTCTTTCATGCCACGACACCATGTCATGCACTGACCACCTCTCCGCTTCTTCCAACCAGTCCCAGAGTCGGCAAATAATGCACGACGTGGAATTCTCTGGGACGACATTCGGAGAACATGTCCAAGCCACCGAAGTCGGTGTTTCAAGATGGTGACACCAATTGAATTATCATCTCTGTGCCCGAACACACGATGCCGAACCTCTGCATTACTGACATGGTGTTGCCACTGAATGTCAGCAATCCTTCGGAGACAGCGATGATCGAACACAGAGAGTCGTCTAACGTCCTCAACTCGGAGAGGCCAGGTTTCACAAGCATAGAGCAAAACTGCTCTCACCGACGCGTTGTAGATCCGACCTTTTACAGCCAGACTAACATCACGAAGGCGCCAAAGATGGCCCAGATTGGCATAAGCCGCTCTGGCTTTCACTATACGTGCATTGATCTCATCACTCACACCCCCACCAGCACTTATGCAGCTACCCAGATACACGAACTTCTCGACTACGTCTATCTGCTCACCATCCAGGGTGAGTACAGGATTGGAATCCTGCCAGTCTTGTAGAAGTACTTTGCACTTCGAAGGTGCAAAGCACATACCATACCTACGGACACTGATTGCCAACTGATTAAGTGCGGATTGCATGCCTTGGGCATTATCGCACAGTAAGACAATATCGTCCGCATACTCAAGGTCGAGAAGTCTTTCTCCAGGCAACAGATCCACACCACCATTACTTACATTCATCAGAGCTGTTTCCAGAATGTCATCGATGGCAAAGTTGAAGAGGAATGGTGAGATTGGGCAACCCTGCCTAACCCCACTGCTCGAATGGAACAATGGAGAGAGGTGGTTGTATGCCCTCACTCTGCCTGAGGTGTTTTTATATAGGGCTTTTAGGATGTTAATAAACTTCTCAGGCACACCCTTCTTCAATAGACAATCCCAGAGAACAGTCCTGTCCAACGAATCGAAGGCAGCCCTGATGTCAAGAAACACTACGATTGTTGGCCTTTGATAAGTATGGCGGTGTTCTAACATTTGGCGGAGGGTGAAGATATGATCAATACATCCTCGACCAGAACGAAACCCAGCCTGCTCCTCGCGAGTCAATCTTTCTCGGGTTTTGAACAACCTACGAAGTATGACGGAAGCCAATAGCTTGGACGCAATCGGAAGTAGACTTATCCCCCGATAGTTGTTACAGGAACGACGTGAACCCTTTTTAAAGATAGGGACAACTATCGACTCATTCCATGACGTTGGTACACTCTCTAGTTCCCAAACCTTTGTAAACAACGTCGTCAATTCCTTAGTCAAAAAGTCACCACCATCTTTAAAAAGAGCCGGAGGTAAGTCATCTGGGCCAGGTGATTTGTAACGCTTCAAGAGTTGGAGTTCCTTGCGGACTTCCTCCTCGTTTGGTGGATCAGTCGTCACCGGCCATGGAGGGCAGGACAGTCTGACCGATGTTGCCGGAGCAGCAGGCCAGTTGAACTGCCCTTCGAAAAATTCTGCCCATCGTCCAAGACGTCGATGGATGTTAGTGATTGGCATCCCATCATCCTCGCAGATTGTTTCACTCACACCAGACTTCTTGCTGCCAGTGGCTCGGATGAGCTGGAAGAGCTTCCGGTAGTTACCAGATGCAGCTGCTGCTTCCAGCTCATTAGCACGCATCGACCACCAGGCTTCTCGGTCCTTACGCAAGCTTTGCCCAATTTCCTTACGTAACATCCTTCGTTTATGGTCAAACTCACGGTCACCCGGAGTAGACCGACGGGCTTCAATGAGTTGTAAGGAACCAGAAGAAACCCAGTGCTTAAAAGCGGGACGTTTCGCAAACCCACAACTGACTGTTCCCGCCATTTTCATGGCGTCATGCAATTGCAACCAATGCTCATCTATACTTTTCGGTGGAGTGGTAGCTAGCCTAGAGGCTAGCTCGGTTCGATACTTACTTGCAACAGAAGTTGCAACCAGCTTGCTAACATCAATCCTTTGGTGGTGGTCACTTCGTTGGCCACTGAAAAGTAAGGCAAGATTGGCGCAGACCAAGGCATGGTCAGAGTCCAGATAGGTACTCCAAAAGGAGCGGCAGTCTTTTACACAACCACGCCAGCGGTAGCTGATCGCGATGTGATCAATCTGAGTCCAGGCTTGAGATGCAGAGGGAGGACGCCAGGTGGCACATCGGCGATGACTGTGCCGAAAGTTAGTGCTAGCCAGAAACAGGTTGTGGTCTGTGCACAGTTGCAGTAGACGGTCCCCGTTATCTGACCTGCGACCAACGAGTCCCCATCGGCCACCTAAACGACTCTCTTCTGTGCCTAGACGCCCGACCTGAGCATTCAAGTCTCCGGCTAGTACTACAATATCTGTCGAACGCACTTTCTGGAGAAGAACAGATAACTGGTGGTAAAACTCATCCTTGATTGCATCCGGGCTGCAATCTGTCGGGGCATAGGCGGAGATGACGAAAAGACATCGTTTCTCACGCCGATTTCTTCTCACTTTGATGGAACTTTCTAATCTAACAGCACATAACCGACTGTTAATGGGGATCCAATCGACTAGTGCTGCCTCAGCTCTAGCGCTTAGTGCGACACCAACGCCAGCAAGACCAGACGAAGATGCCACAGGGTCCCCGGATAAGCGCACGTAAAACAAGCTTTTCGAAGCGACAGATGTAGAGCGAATTTGTAGTACTTCGCCAGAGTCTTGAATACGGGTCTCGGATAGACAACAAACATCAATATTAAGACTTTCCAAAGACATAGCCAGCCCTATCTGTTGTCCGACCTGCATAAGTGTGCGAACGTTGAAGGCAGCCAGTTTGAATGGTGCACGTGGTTTCAGAAAAACTGCTTCAGTACTCATATTCGATGGTAACATACAATTTTCAACCGGACAGTGACTCGAGAACGTTTAGATACAGTCGGATTTCCACCAAAGACGAGCCGCTGTATAAGTATAAAAGAGGGTGAATAATGTGGGAAATAATAATAATAAATAATAATAATAATAATAATAATAATAATAATAATAATAATAATAATAACGACAATAATAGTAATAATAATAGTATTAATAATGACAATAATAGTAATGATAATTATTTGAATCGACTGATTGTTTTTCGGAGCGATAAAAGTAGTTGCCAAAGACATAGAGTTCATCGTTTGTGTGTGGGCTGTGATACTGCCCGGGTGCCCAAACCGAAGCAGGTGGTTTTCTTAGGGGGCCACTCCCCGAGCCTTTGACCTAAAGGTCTAACCCACAAGGCAGTGGAGCATCGTAAGGAGATGCAATCCCATGGTAGCCGGTGACCAAAGATTGGTTCATACGCCATTTGTTCCCGCAGGATACTGGAGCCCATGTGCACCATTGGTTTGTGATCCGGTTAAAGCGCCGGACATTCGCTTTTCGTCCTCTCATTTTCGTAAACAACACCCCCGCCACGAGAAGGCAATGAGTAGGACTTCCCTGGCAGAGGCTGTATACGCGCGGCCGTGTGAGAGTATTTCGAGAGGGAGAGCGGACTCACCCCACTCCCGGCCATACCAGGGCATTCGGGGGGAACTCCTGAATAGACCGGCTCCAATGAATCCACCGGACATCGAAGCAGCACACATAGATCTTCCTATAGATGTCAACCCACTAACGACGGAAGAAATTAAAATGGCCATCAGACAAATCAAAAGTGGGAAAGCAGCAGGACCCGACAATATACCAGCTGAAGCACTGAAGTCAGACATCAAAGTAACTACAAACATGTTTCACCTTCTAATCAAAAAGATGCGGGAGGAAGAACAAGTGCCGATGGACTGGAAAGAAGGACACTTCATCAACATTCCAAAGAAAGGAGATCAGAGCAAATGTAGAAACTACAGAGCAATCACACTACTGTCAGTACCAGGAAAAGTTTTTAACAGAGTGTTGCTGAACCAGATGAAAGATGCAGTAGACACCCAACTTCGAGATCAATAAGCTAGATTCTGTAAGGATCAGTCGTACGTAGACCGAATTGCGACACTACGGATAATCGTCGAACAATCAATTGAGTGGAACTCGTCACTGTACATCAACTTCATTGATTATGAAAAGGCATTTGACAGTGTAGATAGGAGGACGTTATGGAAAATTCTTCGACACTACGGAGTTCCTGAGACGATTGTCAATATTATCCGGAACTCATACGACGGACTATAATGCAAAGTCGTGCATGGAGGACAGCTGACAGATGCATTCCAAGTAAGGACTGGAGTCAGACAAGGCTGTTTACTCTCTCCCTTCCTCTTTCTTCTGGTGGTCGACTGGATTATGAAGACCTCATAGAAAACGAAAAGACAAGACGATTTGGACTTCGCAGACGAACTAGCCCTCCTATCGCGTACACACGAACAGATGCAGATGAAGACAGCCAGTGTAGCAGCAGTCTCTGCATCAGTAGGCCTCAGTATACACAAAGGGAAAACCAAGGTCTTCAAATTCAAGGCGGAGAACAGCAATCCAATCACTCTTGATGGCGAAACTCTGGAAGATGTAGAGTCCTTCACATACCTAGGAAGCATCATCGATGAACAAGGAGGTTCAGATGCAGACGTAAAGGCGAGGATCGGCAAAGCAAGGGTCGCATTCCTACAATTGAAGAACATATGGAACTCAAAACAACTTTCAACCAATATCAAAGTGAGAATCTTCAATACGAACGTCAAGGCAGTTCTACTGTATGGAGCTGAAACTTGGAGAACTACAACAACCACAATCAAGAAAGTACAAGTATTTATAAATAGCTGCCTACGCAAGATACTCAACATCCATTGGCCGGATACCATCAGCAATAGCCTTCTGTGGGAGAGAACAAACCAACTTCCAGCTGAAGAGGAAATTAGGAAAAGACGATGGAAATGGATAGGACATACATTACGCAAATCGTCAAACTGCATCACGAGGCAAGCCCTAACTTGGAACCCTGAAGGGAAGCGAAAAAGAGGAAGGCCAAAGAACACATTGCGTCGGATTATAGAAGCAGATATGAAAACGATGAATTACAACTGGACGGAGCTAGAAAGGATTGGCCAGGACAGGGTTGGATGGAGAATGCTGGTAAATGGCCTATGCTCTTTCACGAGGAGTAACAGGCGTAATTAAGTAAGTCACTTATCGACTGTCTTCTATTATCACTCTGTGTATCCTTGTTTTTCAACTTACACAGCAGCTGGCCTATGGTGGAAACCCTGTTTTATCTAAACGATACCGCATCACTGACTAGTCGAAAGTTAAATACTACCACCAAATACGAATATTGAAACAGTCTTTCTGAAACCATGCATACCATTCAAACTGGCTTTCGTCAACGTTCGCATACTAATGCAGACCGGACAACAAATAGGGTTCGCTATGTCTTTAGAAAATCCTAATATCGACGTCTGTTGTCTATCTGAGATTCGTACTCAAGACTCTGGAGAAGCAGTACAAATACGTTCTCCATCTGTCGCTTAGAAAAGCTTATTTCGTGTGTGTTTATCTGGAGACCCTATGACATCTTCGTCTGGTTTTGTTGGCGTTGTTGCCGCACGAAGCGCTAGAGCTGAGGCAGCACTGATCGATCAGCGAATAAACGTAATAAAATAATCGGGTTACTAAACTAGAACGAATTTTATGTAGTTCAAATCACTAGTTCGAAATAAGTCTACTTACTTGGGCGTATAACCATGTAGTCGAGCCGCAACCTGAATAAGACTTTCATTTTCATCTGTTATCTCGCACGACTGAATATTCACAATGGAACCGTCAGGAGCTTCACTACTAGACATGGAATTAGTCCCATGACTCAAACACGCTTGGATATTGTGATACAATATCTGATAACGTTTACTTGCATCGGGAAGTGATATTAACAAACGTCTATAAAATAGTTCCCTGCATTCATGAACACTAAAAACTTTGTCAATCGTAGTGGCTGTTGCTAGGATGCAAAATCGACATGTTGACTTTTGACTGTGAACCAAACTCTGGCTAACCGATTGGATTGATTCGATAAACCTTTCTAAAATGTTGGGAATCATTTTTGATTCAGCATCCGTATCAGTTGTAGAATGAGTATTAGTATCTATATTTTCATCGTTATCGATCCACTTGTCGATGTTAGGCCATAAAATAACTACAGGAATACAGTTTCTGTTACTGACATCTAATTGCCCAGCCATGTTCGTCAGCCAGCGATAGCCATGATGATGAGATTTATTAGTTAACTCGGTGACCAATTTTGATGTAAGTGTAACGAATACTGGCTTTTCATACGAGGACTACAAGAAAAAAATGACAATATCATACAAACGATAGGAATATATAAATATATATATATATGACTTAATTGGTATTAAGAAAATAGATTCAACGTGCAATAGAAAGGAAATTTACCCCATTTGTTGAAATTGAATGGATTTGGTCATTGGCAATATCCTCAAGAAATGTACGTTTTCCACAGCCAGGGAGTCCATAAAGGATAATCCCAGGCGTTATATTGGAAGAAAAAACAGTTTCATTTCCATGAACACATGTTAATAGGAAGTTTCTAAGATAGCCAAGAATCATATCTCTAACCATGTCCAAACCAAACAAGTAACTATTCATGTAATTGCCTTTTGGTATCAACTTGGAAATCTCAGAGCCTCCAAACCCAAATGACAAATTAAGTGGAGCTTCAGCTTGGACCAAGATCAACTTGGTAGAAGAACCAATCTAAAATAATGACGAGATGAATAATATATATATATATAACTTATCTAAGAATCGATACCTAAATTAAATGACCAGGTATAGTGAGAAACAGTCGTAAAATCAATACATCAATATGGACCGGATTCGAAGAATTAAAATATGAATAAGTTACATGGGAAGACATTCTAATACGAGGACAGAAAGTAAACGTCTACAACATGCATCAAAAATTTAAAAATCTGCTGTTTAAAACTATTTATACAAAGTAATAGGCTGGGTTACTTCAACAATGAAAAATATAGAGGAGGTGGAATAATCAATTCGTGCACAAAATTAATGTGTCAACTCAAATATCGCCATGAGACGAAACAAAGTACAAACGTTGTTTGTCCACACACCTAGAGTACCAACAATTAATTTTTACTACATATATTACTACCTTCTGTATCAGCCTTGTGCTAAGCGACAATACAACCTAAAATCTGGGGCATGTATATATCGGCTCAAGTTCCCATATCCCATTAACATATCAAGGTGAAACTGTCAGAGGAAATCCTAGAGCAGTAGAAATAGTGACAATAATATTGGTCATAGGAAAGATTAGGCATCGAAGATACAACTCAGGAAAATATAAATTAGTGAAATAAAAATTCGTAGGAAATTTAAAAACTTAGGAATCAAGGAACGAAAAAAATCCGTGAACTTGTACCACTGCGAACAGTTTTGAGCCATGTCGTTCAAAGTTGGTAACCACTGGTTATGATAATCACATGGACCCCAACCAGGTATGTTGTACCTACCTAAATAGCTCAGTTTAGTGGTTTTGGTTCGGCCCCTCTCAGTCTGCTCCTACACCAGCCATCATCGCGCATTGAGGTCGTTGGTATTTGGGTGTACGTAATACATGTTTTGACCATCTTAGTTGACAATGATTTACTAACTTGTCAATCGATTTGCTACACTTACCTAGAATTATGCGTTCTAACTCAGAATTGCCAACCTGACGGTCACAAAATACAAGACTAATGGTTTAAAAACGCATGTGGTCGAATACTAGTAACCCATGAATATCCTCTATCCTTTGAAGGCCCTGTTTCGCACCCGATAAGTAGAACGAAGACAATCGTTGCACCGTCAATTCGTCTTTTAGTTGATAGATGAACACATTGCCTAGGTTACAACATGACGGAAGTTGAGAAAAGTCAGACGAACTTTATGTATTTGCACCGATACCTTACCAGATTCTAATTCATCAGGATTGATGAGACTTCTAAAGTAATTAAGACAATTAATGCAGCCGACTACTTCAATCTATACCATTGGCTCAGGGATTGACAGTGAACAGGTCTTGAACCAATATTTTGGATTTGGAAGGAGGGAAATGCATCGCAAATATGCTTGGATTGTTGCTTAAGGCAGTCCGGAGACAACACTGTTGAGTGTCTTCATCAAACAAGACTAAATCTGCGTATTTTAAGTCAACAGGTGAACCTCCTGGTCAAAGATAAATTCCCGATAAGTCAAAAGTGTTATTTGCAAAAGAATGTTTAAGACGAAGTTAAACAAAATTAGAGATTGTCGACAACTCTGACGAACACCGCTTGAAAAGATCGACTCCGGCGACAGTTCGCCATAAGCTCCAAATTGATTAGTAGTTTTCGATCAGAGAGTCCATACAGGGTTAATGCACTTCTTTGGTACATCTTTCAATGACAAACACTACCATAAAACCTAACGATCAGCAGAGTCGAACGCTGCTTTAAGATCGAGAAATGCAACTATGATTGGGAGTCCAGGTTTGAAGCCAGTCTGGTTTTCTCTTCAAGAGCACTAGTTGGGTGTTTGATTATTGAGGCTAATATTTCAGGTACTACATAAGCCAAACTGACTGAGCTATGGTTTTAACAACAGGTTTTAGTCCTGGAATGATCAGAGATCGAGGCCACATTCGGTTCCTATACTCAAGTTAATATCTTGGTCAATGAAATAGTTGAGACTAGGCAACATCAACCAAGACCTGCTGTTGCTCTCTTGCCCTAAACTAGCTATAGCCTTTTCTACTTCATTAAAGGTCAGGGAGTTTATGTTGATATCCCATTCAGTTTGCTTGGCAAAAATAGGCAGTTGAGAAACAGTTGGAGAGCATTTTAACAGTTATTTGAAGTGTTCCACCCAGCATTCCAGATTTCTGGGTCGAGAGAGGACCTTTATTCAGAAGCACATAAACCTTGTGAAGGCTCTTTACTTGAACACTACCAGTCGAGTCAGAGCTTATGGCGAACTGTCATCTGCCACGATTTGGTCTGCCACCCCTAACTTTCTTCCAATCATCCCTAACACTGGTCACAGCATCGCCTTCCTGGTAATCGGTGTTCAGACATACTTCAATGCATGCTTAACGGCGTCCGACAATGGTGGTCTTTCTTGCTTAAAAGCAGCATTTGACTCTGTAGACCGCGAGATTCTGTGGCAGTGTCTGTCATTGAAAGGCGTACCTCAGAAGTACATAAACCTTGTGAAGGCTCTTTACTCGAACCCTACCAGTCGAGTGAGAGCTTGTGGCGAATTGTCATCTGCTTTTGCAACCTCAAGTGGTGTCCGTCAAGGCTGTCCACTTTCTCCATTTTTGTTTAACTTCATCATAGACCTATTGATGGAAATAACATTCTCATCGACTGAATTCTCGGGTATTGATCTCCTTCCAGGAGGTCCACTTATCGACTTAGAATACACAGATGATATAGTCCTGTTTGGTGAAGACACTGATAAAATGCAGTCTTGTGGTAGCCCTGAGTAAACAATGCCAGAATATTTGGGATGTGTTCCTGCCCCTCTAAATGTAAGTTGTTGCTTCAGGACTGGCCTGCGTCAACAGCTGAACCAAGAATAGGGAGCGAAGTAGTACAAGGCGTCGATAACTTCATTTATCTTGGAAGTTTGATCGGCCCTAATGGGTTGGTGTCTGACGAAATCTCTGCACGGATTCGAAAAGCTCGTTTGGCTTTTGCCAACTTACGTCACCTATGGTGAAGGCGAGATATCCGTCTATCAATTACGGGACGAGTTCTCTGTGCGACAGTTCCTTCTGTTTTACTTTACGGTTGCGAAACGTGGTCATTAAGAGTAGGAGATACTCGTAAGCTACTAGTATTTGATGACTTGGAAATATAGCTCGCATCTCCTGGGATTACCGGGTAGGTAATAGTGAGGTTAGACACACGCTATTAGGGAATGACGGTAAATCAGTCGATGAGGATGTAAATCTTTATCGACAAAGATGGTTGGGCCACGTGTTACGTAGGCCTGAACACCGTTTACCACGACGCGCAATGCTGACTAGTGTTGGAGACGGCTGCAAGAAAGTTGGGGGCGGCCAAACCAAAACGTGCCATCAGTCATTGAAGTCACTAACTTCTAGTCTGAGCCATGTTGGTAGATGCAGACTACTTAGTTGGGGTTCGCGTGACTATCGTAATCAATGGTTGGAGACTGGGTGGCATGATTCAGAATCGATCACAATGGCGTAGGTGTATACACTCTTTGTCTTACCTTAAATCGTGAGATCAAAATTACTTTATACTTTTCTTTCTAATTCTTTCTTCCTGTACTATATACTTATGCACAATCTTTATTTACACATTAATATAATTGAAGTGACTAATTTTATGAATTTGGTGTTCAACTTGTTGTACTGACGAGGTATGGCAACTTGGACCGATGCATACATGTGCCTGGTCCTACGTTGTAGCTGACTGAATGATTATTCAGGAGTCGTCTCACTGACTCCCGACTCTTAATGTCTATTTCTTTGATAAGTCTAAAATCGTCTTGTCTATCAAACCCATCTTTTCTATTCTCTTAGCTTTCGCCACTCGCTACTGATCACAACTATTGCGCAGACTTTTAGTCAGTTTACGTTTAAGTAACATTTGCTTCCCATCATCTTCTGAGTTTCATCATTAACAGCCGGTAGACACTAATCTCCGTCACCTAAAAATACTAATTAACCCAGGAAGATACAACCACTAATACAAGTTATTCAGCTGGTTGACGAACAACTACTATATATATTCCTAGTCACTACTAGCTTTTTAAAGTATAATCCTACTTTGGAAATAATCATACAAAGGGATAGACGGTTATACTATTTGCACCGAATATTTTAATTGGTGTCCGGGACTCCCTTAACTTACTTGCCTTTTTATTTCAGAAAAAAACTGATATTCCTCATTCAATACCTCCAACATACACGACCCATGTTTCAAAGATAACCATAACTAAGTTAAATACAACGAATAAACTGTTTGCAAACTAAAAGTCTCTCTCGAATGCATTCTGCATCTAAAATTGTCGTATTCATATCGAAAGAGAAGTCACAAATTAGTACGATTAGAAATTTTTAAAATTGTAGGCAAAATAATGGATAAGATAGTAAATTTTATTTTATTTATTTTAACACATAGTTATTGGCACAAGGAGGCACTAAATACATATGCGCCACACAAATCTCATTCATTATGTGTGAGGGCTGTGATACTGCCCGGGTGCCCAAACCGAAGCAGGTGGTTTTCTTACGGTCCACACCTGGAGCCTTTGACATGAAAGTCTGATCCACAAGACAGTGGAGCAACGTAAGGAGATGCAGTCCCATGGTAGCCGGTGGCCAACAATTGGTTCATACGCCATTTGTTCCTTTAGGATACTGGAGCCCATTTGCACGATTGGTTTGGAATCAGGGTTTTCCAACTCCCCTAGGTGGACTCTCCATATCCACCAACCCGGTTAAGGCGCCAGACATTCGCTTTCCGTCTTCTCAATGTCGTAAGCAACACCCCCACCACGAGAAGGTAGTAAGTAGGACTTCCCTGGCATAGGCTATATACGCGTGGCCATGTGAGAGCATTTCGAGAGCGGACTCTTCCCTCTCGGCCGTACCAGGGCATTTGGGGGAACCATGTAGCAATACCACAGTTTTGGTCGGTTTACCAGTATTAACAAAATATTAGGTTTCCAAAAACTGTTACGGACTCATATCATCGTCATAAATACGCCTTTAAATTTAATCAGTTTAAATTATTCTGAGTCACATCAAATACGAAATACTATAGTCATTTTTAGGAAGGCAAGAATTGATGATAGTTACTGAAAATACCTTTACTCTGGTAACACTTGACATTAACATAGTTTGTTAAACAATTCATAATGGAAAATAATGGCATGTTTTACAACTAATTTTCGGTGAAGTTGTACCATTTGCCAACCAGCAATCCAAGCTATATGTTAGAGAATGTACTAAAAGGTAGGTCCCGCTGAATCCAAGTATACATTAGGCACTCCTATAATTGAACTATCCGTATAATCGAGTGTAACCGGACGTTAACATTTGGCACAAAAGTTTTGTCTTCGGTCAGCCTCCTTTGACTTTTACGAAATGAGCATGAATTACGCAATTTATCACTATTTTCAATAGTACCAGACCAAGACTTGGGTTTTACAATTTATCGTTATGAAACTCACTTTAAAAACAGGTTGATCAGTGAGTGACTGAATAAGTTCACATGACCAAAGATTATTACTGTTGTTGAATGACTCAGAGGGAAAACTTAGGTCGTTGAGATGTGGATGAAAGTCATAATCCTCCTTTAGACTGTAAAATTAAGTAATTGAAAACAAGATAATTTTAGATGACTAAAAATTTTTCAATAAATAATCCTAACTACAATTCAGAACAAAATAGGTGCTGAAAACTGTCTAAATATGAAGTTTCTAAGAATGTGGATGAAGTTAAAGTAGTAAATAGGTGGAATGCTATGAAGTCAAACAAGTGTCGAAAATGGATATTTACATCCAGAAAGCAGATTAAAATATGATAAGACATAAGTAATCTTTATAATTTCAAAAAGGCGTATCGACATGCATAAGACAAGGTTGCAATTAACTAGAACAGCTTTGACAAGTTACTATCTCAATCTCAAAAGATTCGGCAGTAGCGAAATACATAACACGGGAGCTAGCATAGAGATATGGAGCCCTACGCCACATGTTGGTCTACAAGGTTGAATGTACCTGCATTACTATGACTAGTTTTCAGACATACCAATTCGATCGTTTTGGTCATCTCTGTCAAAAAGAAGTAAGCACTAACAGTATGAAGATCAGATAGTAAAGACGCCACAGATCAGTTCCATGGTTTGGTTCAGCCAACTCAGTCAAGTTTTGACTCAATCAGAACAGAACGGTTAACTCCATACTAATGAGTGAGAACATGCTCAGCATTCCAAATAAGGTGGTTTGATGAATAAGCTCTTAAATGAACCTGCTAAGATATTATGATTATCGATCACAGACTTCATCCAAAAAATTGATCTCAATGAAAAGACTAATAACTGAGATTAATTATGGGGAGATAAAGGTGATTTTCACACTTGAACTGACATGTTTTATTACTGATTCACTTTTAGGGGCAACTTGTTAAACCAAGGAAATGAGTATTGCAGGAAGATGGTCGCATTCATAAAACCAAATTCCTTGGGAGTTTTACGGGCTTAAATCAGGTCTAACAGATGGTTAACTGACTTTGTGTTGGAAATAAATATATGAGGAGGAAAAACATGCCAAACTGAGCTGCATAATAAAAACATCTTACATTGTTTGCCTAGTGTTTTGAATGGAGAACGCCTCTCCAGATACTGAAATGGCCTCGACGATTAGCAAACTGAAGTAATCTCCAAGCGCTCGAATAGTCTGCTTTGTTCCAACCATGGTGTGTGACATCTCTGGAGAGTTTAACAATCAGTGTCAGAACTTACGCAACCTGTAATGCAGACTATTTTCCAAAAGAGGCAAAAGAACTGGGTCCATCGGAGTCCTATTTTATTGTAAAATTAGAATAAATCAGGTTACATAATCTGTAGTCTCAATGACTCGGCCGGAATCACTCGGGTTGGTAGTTGAACGGTCAATTTTCGAGGCAAGTCTGGACCGAACTTGGATAACATCTCATCAGAGATCTCAACATTGTCTGAGGACGAAATCCCGACGACAGCAGGAAATTTGCAGTTTACGACAACAACTTGAAATACACAAAGCTGGTTCTTACGGTAAAATGAGAAAGGCAGTAATATATCGGGCTTCATTTCGAACTGCATCAAAATACAAATTAGTGATGGAAGCCACTAATTTTTCTATGCCCACTTTTTCGGTATATGATTCAGTATTACGTGATGGCGAAATACATAGCACGTACATTAGGAAACGCAAATAGCGGAAAGGCATTACCACGTCCACCCCAAGGTTGTCATCAGGACTTCTAGGTCACTGTAGTTTGCGGAACATCTAATACTCAATATCTTTATTTTTAGATTGTATAGACAGACTGATGCCTCTGCCATCAAAAGTCCTAAGTAAGTAGTCCAGCCACTCGACTTCCCTAATCCCAATGAAATCTAGAGATTATTAGAAGGTTAATGTTTCCCCAGTTTACGAAGCAGCATGGTATTCAGTCTCCAGTAATAAGTATGGTATGTTGGTGGGCCTCTGTTAACCTTTTCAGATTGTTTTTCAGTGAAGGTCCAACTTCTCGTCGAAAAAGGCTCACTGTATGGGCTGATATCAATTGTTTGAGTAGGGCGGAAAGATTTATTAACACCAAAATCGTAATTAAAGAAACGGCATGTCAATAGTTGGTCACCTTGCGTACTACGATACAACAAGTGGAGAAGGTCTAGGTGTTTTGAGAGCTCATCGTAAGGGTTAAGAGAGACCCTCCACTAATTTTGTACTCACACGCTGGACACGCTCAATTGAGTAAGTATCCTTATTAAGATATGAACCGGCTGCTTGGACATGGTACTATAGGTATGATCTTACGTAGCTGCCATATAAGACTCCAAACATCTCGTCAAAGCATTTTGATGCCTGATGAAGTGACTATAACGCTCAAAAACATCAGGCGGCTGATGCGTTCTATTGAGTGATTGTATTTAAATTGTGACTAACCATTACCCCTAGTTCATTGTATTCCTGCATACATGGACGCAATCTACCGTTGACAGTATACTGGTAACCATTACCGTGTCCAATGTGAATTAGCACAGTATTTCTAGAATTAGTTGCAAAATATCAACATTGGAACCATTAAACTTATTCTTCTAGATCAGCTTGAAGATCAAAATGTTAAGCATCACTTTTTATTGTTCTCAAGATTTCGACATCATATCCAAACATATTGTCGATGAATTTAGCAGTTGTGGTAGTTCGTTGATTGACGTGAAGAAGAAAGTAAGGGTGCCTAAGACAGTGCCTTGTGGTACACCAGTTTCTACTGGCATCCATTCAGATATTATCCTACTTATCCTCACTCTCTTCCTTTGGCAAAGAAGGACGTTTCTCAGCAATTCTTACACGGTACCTGCCTCTGAATAAGACCTAAGTGAGGAACATCATCAAATCCTTTGCTGAAACCTATGAATATCACACTAAGAGATTATCCATTATACTGGGCTGCTGTCCAATCCTCATTCGTAATGAGTAAGTTGGTTGAGCTTGAACGTCTGTACTGAAACCCGCGTTGCTCGATAGATAGCAAATTATATGATTCCATGTCACTTAGTAACAAATAACGAATTTTTAAAAGTAACTTGAATACTATGATAGTCAGACTGTCACTTCAGTAGTCAGACAAGAACTCTTTTTATACTTAAATATAGGACTGACTATAGCATCTTCTCAATCTCCAGGGAGTTGAGTGTGGTGAAGGTACATGTTGAGCAGCATCGTGAGCGGTAAAGTAATAATGTCTGCGACAGATGACATCAATCGTGAACGTAACCTATCCAAAATGTCTGTCAACTAATGATCTCACGCTTACGCAGCAATATTTCAGTTGCTGGACAATGTTGTAGAAAAGTTGTCCTAGGCTTGGTCAGTCGCTTAGGTCATCGCACCCAAGAATAGCCTCTTTTAGAGTTCCGTGAGGTTACGAGTTATCACTAGTGAACATACTAGGCGTGACGTACCCGTTGTTGTCGCTCGATAGTGCTTTCGCAACCCTGAGGAATTGTGCAGATGTGTCTATCACACCGTGTTTGCGGAAGTCGGCCTCTGCGTGGCAGGACCAGGCTTCTACATTGTCGTGCCACAGTAAGAGAGCGGGTGGCGAGTCTTGATCTTAAGTCGCTCAGGCGTATATTCCATCCTGATGAAGATAAAATGTGAGAGAAAGTATCCGAAAATATGAAAAAATACCACGATACTTGAAAATATGAATTAAAAAATGACATATAGTGTTCCAACGAAGAGTGAACTGTTTGGTGTGCCGGATAACGTCGGTATTCAAAGTTTGATAACACCTCTAGAAGTAACACCTTTGTAATTGAAGTGCGCTAACTCCAGTCAGATTGGAAGTGAGAAATGAAGTGGTTCGAAGATATATTTGGAAGGTTATCGACATGTCGAGACGTGTTTGATCTAAGCTGGCTGACAGTTAAAAGGGAATAGTAGCACGGTGTACTCACTGGTGATTCGGTACTGCTGCACAACCGAGCGCCTTCGTCTGGGTTTGTCCAGTGAAACTATTGAGGTCACCATCTATGTTGAAGACTTACAGAAGTATATATTTTAGGGATTTATCTGCCGCAACAGTCGCTGGTCTTAATTGAAAATAAAGCAGTTCGCATTGATAATGCCCCAATTATTTACAAAATCCATCGCTACTAAAATCACAATGTAAGTTCAAAATTTATGGTAAATGTACCTTATAGGAGTCATTTTAAGTGAATAGCATAACTTCACTAGGAAATACTACAAAATTAAGATGTCGAGTCATGGCTTATATGATGATAAAAATAATAAAATAATGTGAACCAAGAAGATAGATTTTGATGCATAATAATATGAATTTATTTTATTTTGTTAGGTTCTTATTAGCTCTTTACAACTTATAGGTATGTCAATATATGTGATAACGTTGACTTCAGAATATAAATGTGTAATATCAACATGTAATGGGAGAAGTAGTGCAGAAGTTTACAGGAAACGAAACTTATGTGACAACATGTGATGAGGTAGTTTCCTATAAATTTAAACTAACGGCTGAAAAGCTACACAATGAGATATATATTACCATTTTTATGTAGTTTTTGACTTTACTGATGACCTACTTTTTTAGCGTTTGAAACATTACGTGAAATTAGTTGTTTTTATTTTATTGCTTATGCCATTTGTTTCAACTTAATTGTAATTAAGATTAATAATAAGACAACAATATTGGACTAAGACACAATAGTATGGGCTAAAGTTATTGAAATTCGAGATCAGTAGAACAGCTTGTATCACTTTTACCATTACAAGTTGAAATAAACAGTAACTAAGCGTTCAGTATGTACTGTAACTGAAAGTCACTTGCCATACTAATTCAACTATAATTTTTGTGTATAGAACTTAAAAAGATCACTGTTTTCAGATGATTTTTACGAACTCATGACTGCAATGTTTGATGGTAGTGTCTTAAAAATATGCTACTTTTACACCCTTAATAACATGCTTATTAACTCGCACCTATGGTAGTCATCTACCCCCATATATCCTTCGGCACAACAGCCATTCCCACGGCAGTTTACTTCTATTTCTAAAGCTTATGAAGTACAAAGACGTCGAATATTTAGGTTGGCTATTAAGGGGATGAAATGAAAGTCTCACATGTAGCCTGCTGAACAATAGCCAAGAAGTTTGACTGTACTTTTTTCAGCTAGTTATTCCCATCATTGCTACCTAAACAAAAAACGGACGGAAAAATCTCCTAAAATGTTCATTTTTCTGAGTTATTTGCCACCGTCTAACCATATACCGGGAATCAGCTTATATATAAGATTCCCAATACGGAGACCTATCGAACTAGTGAGTCAGAGCTTTGTGGCGCTAATAGTATAGGTATGACTGACAGGCACTTGGAGCGGAAAGGAAAGTGGTGGAACTGGATGAAACTGGCTCCGAACACAGAACATGTTATTTGTGAAAATCTTCAAGCCTTTACAAAATTAACCGTTCTTTAAAATTACCATCAGTTCTATAAACATCATTATATCTCAAATGATTTGAAATAAAAGTTGAAACGAGATTGGTTAGCTTCATTTTGATATTGCTAATGGCGAAGTCTACTTTGATTAACTTTGTTTTATGTCATCAACAACAGATTCAAATTGTCGCTTTCAGCTATCTCAAGGCTACCTCCTCATTCGCAGATGGACTGTGGTAACGGCTTCCAGATAAATTTGGAACATTCTTCAGAAAATCCTCTTGTTTGTTCAGTGTGCTCAGGTCGTGAAGTGTTTGGTATATTATCTGCTTGTCTGCATGTAGTATGTGTAACATGTGCAGAATATATGCGTAAGGATGATGTATACCGTTGCATTTTATGCAAAGAATCAAGCCAAAAGGTAAATTTGATTATCCTTAATATATTTCCACAAGATTATCAGTAATCCTAACATTTGTAATTCCGAAAACACCAATAAGTCACCCACATGCAATTGGTGCCATGACAATGGAGAACAGACGAAATCAATCGGACATTGCGAAGATTGTGACATATGGTTATGTGGAGAATGCCTAAAGGGTCATAACAGAATGCCTCCATTACGTAACCATAACATTACACTGCTTTCAAAAAGCGAACATCTAGGTTGGTCATATGTAATGTTTCTAAACTTTGTCCAATTATTTATCAACAACGTCTACGATACTTGTAATTATGTTTTTCAACTCAAGTTATTAGGGTTTGAATATGTTATTCAATGAGTATAGGCCAGTGGAATAAATATTGAAAGAAAAAAACAGGTACATGAGGAAATTAGAATTAGGGAGAACCCAAATAGTTGATGCACCTGCGCCATCGCAAACGATTTTGAGCCATGTCATTCAAGGTCTATAACCATTGGTTGCTATCGTCTCTCGGATCCCAACTAAGTAATCTACACCCACCAACATGGCTCAGTCCAGTTGTCAGTGACTTCATAGATTGGTGCAGTGTTTTGGTCTGGCCGTCTACTTCCTTCCAACCTCCTCCTACATCATAAAACATCGCTCGTTGGGAAATCAACGGTTGTGTATACGTAACACATGTCCCAGCCATCTCGGCTGATGAAGTTTCAATACTTCTTCAATTGATTTGCCATCCTTACTACTACCCGTTTCCTAACAACTGCATTACTTACTCAGTTGTCCCAGGATATACGAGCAATGCTTCGAAGACACCTACGGTCGAATACTAGTAACCTACGAATATCCTCCACTCTCACCGGTCATGTGTTTTCACATGCCTATAAAGTAGATCGGAACGAATTGCTGCTCAGTAAACCTTCATTTGGTTGGTAGATGGATATTTCACCTATGCCATAAATGACGCAAGTTGGCGAAAGCTATTCAAGCCTTCTGTATCCATGCTGAGATTTCGTCACATGCCAGACCACAAGGGCTGATGAGACTCTCAAGATAAGTGAAGCGGTCGATTACACTCAACTACTTCACTCCTTATCATTGGCGGAAAGTAGAGTGGATGACTGCTACAGTTAGCAATCCATCTACATAAAGTAAATACAATAGTACCAAGGATTATTCCTTAGGGAACTCCACGTTTTACAGATTCCCACGCTGAGAGAGCTCCATTTACCCTTGCCTACTCTTTCGTATATTGGAAAAGTCACTTGCCCAGTCTATGACTTCATAAAAGATTACAAAACTTTCCAGTTATGATTTAAAAACCAGATGAGTGATCCTGTCAAAAGCTTTACTTAGATTTATGAAAATCACATCTACAGGAATATTTCTATCTTTCGCTCCGGCCCAATCTATTTTCGCAATGAGCAAATTTGTCAAACGAGATGGCCCTTTCCTAAAACCATGTTGTTTACTGGATAAAAGATTTTTCCCTTCCACATGATTTAAACTAGCCATCCGAATAATCCTTTCCATTAGTTTGACAACTGCACTGGTTATACCAACGGGTTGATAGTTATCAACTAAGTCTCTGCTCCCTGCCTTATACACCGAACTGATTATTGTGTTTTTCCAGTCTTTTGGCAGTCCAGACTGTTGCAAAGACATATCAAACAGCATGGCCATAGGTTCAGCCATTACATCCGACAGGTCTTTCATAAACCTATGATAATTATCGTCCGGACCACTGGACTTATCTGGTGTAAGGTGTTGAATTAATCTCAAGATAGTTCCTTCCTCAATAACTACAGGACCCATTGACAAGCCGCCCTGACTACGATTAATTATTGGTCGTTCTTCATTGCCGGTAGAAAACACTACTAAAATATTCCGACAAAGCTTCAGCTTTTTGTCATCTCTCATCACACATTTTCTTGTACCAGAAGTGGTGGGATTCCATCACTCCTCTGAGTTTGCCTCTTTAAATACAAGAATAACCTTTTCAAACTTTTCCCACAATCCCTAACCAACTATTTTTTATATGACTATCTAGTCTTACCTACAAGCAATCCTAGTCCTACAATAACTGGATGTGCTGTTCTAAGTCAGTAGAGATGAATATATTCCAATGCATTTAGGTTTTTTCATGTAGTTCATATAAATCAGGGGTGTAAACGCAACCAATTGTAGAAAATCAAGTAGTAGAGGGTCCAACTTTGATGCCTTTAGCGACTTTTTTGTGATTCCTGAGACTCGAATTGGTAAACTCAGGAAGGGGATATATCTCATTTCAGCGATTCTCTAAACACTGATTAACAGTTAGGAGTCTACACTCATAGTTTAACTGCAATTCATCTTATCATAGCCTGGTTAATGTTCGATTATTTCCTTAAAAAATTTTCACTTTATGTAATTGTTTTGAAGGTATCTGTTATTGAGATGAATTAAAATACTTGATTGTTTGAAAATTTTTCTCCATTTTAAGGCTCACTACGATGTGAAGCACACCCGAACGAAGCACTAGAATGCTTCTGTGAGGCTTGTGGAGTATTAACTTGTCGTGACTGTCAGCTATCAGTTCACAGAGATCATGGAAGCCATCGGTGGGTTGGAGAGAAAGCTGTTCAACTAAAGGCTCCTTTAGAAGAGGGGATTCAAAACCTCAAAGAATCAGGAAAAAAAACTATCTTCTGCCTTACTTTGTGCTACTAGCGCTCGTACTTGCATGGAGGACAGCTTCATATTCAGTGTGGAAAAAGCTCGTCAAGATATCAAGTCACGGACGTCTTCCCTCATTGATTGCATTCAAAATCGTTCTGAATGCCTCTTGAATGAACTTGACAAAAAGGCAGATACATATATTGGTCGACTACAGGAGACGGAAAATTTGATACGTAAGCTCCAGGTATGTGTAGCTAACTAGCTTACTCTAATTTAACCGTTTTGCTTACCTGCGACACTACCTATGTAGTCCACGGAAATGTAAGTTTCTTATTTCATTCAAGATACGCCCCTACAAAAAGAGACATGTCTATCTCGCGTGGCCACCTAATTACCTACTCACATGTAGATAGTGGCGGAATCGCGAAAAGTTCATTGTTTCAATCCATATAAAAAGACCCAGCTAAGCTGACTGTTGAATCTATTATTGACTAAAGATCCATAAGCTTTATAAGTAGTAGTTGCAGCGATTTCGTAAAAAAATCAGGAACGTTATGAAGTTCTCTTTTGATTTTCATAAATGTTTCTTCGTGGACTTTTTTAGTCAGATTTATATATCGCACATAAAATGTTAAATATGAAAGTACATGTGATTAATCTTTTGTCACTATAAAGGAACAGATAAATTTTGCGTCGGCATTTTCCAGTCATCTCATTCAAAATGTAGACAATGATCCTGCTAGCTTAGTGCAATTGTATGAAACTGTCAAACTTCGACTTGATTTGCTTCAAATACTGTCTGAACAAGTTTTGAGTGATTCGCCGTCCGTGATTGATTCATTGGATCAAAAACTGAAAGATCGAGTTAAAGAGTCCAGTTTATGGTCTGAAAATGTTATTGGCTGGCATACTATGGTCAATACACGAGCATTGTTTCTTGGCACCTGGGATGCTGAGGAATTATGTCGATATTCTGGAACAATAGCATGGTTACCCAAACAAGCCAAAAATACCTTTTCTCTCAAGGACAATAATCAAACATTTAGCAGTCAGGTGGTTGTAAAGACAGAAAATGTAAGTTTCAGGAGAATTTGAATTTTTGTTTATCAATAAATAATTACTGCTTATGATAAGTGTCCTTGAATTTTTAGACAAATATATTTGTTTCCCCTAAAGTGTATGAACATTGAATTAACGTTTTTGATAGTTTAAGTACTTGTTAATTTATAGAAGTATTGTGTTTTGTGAATACCGTTGGTAAATTTCCGGACAAAAGTTAATGCTCCTCGTTTGTTGAGTTGTTCTTGAGCGAACTGTGGACTAAGTAATCTTTTAAAAAAACGTCTAACTCCTCGTGAGTTTTGCCCTGGCTTTTGTATGAGATAAAGCGAAATCGTTTTGTAATGTGTAGAATTCAGTAATGGTTATTAGTTCGGAGGAGATATATGAATGGGTTATTTTCATATCGTTGATTCGACACTTTTGTGATTGAAAATTTTGAAGTGGTCAGGTTACGCGTAAATATTTGATTAAAAGTTATTACGGGAAGGCATTAAATGTTTCTTCCTATGCATCCAGTTTACGTTGATATTTAACGTATGGATTAGTGTGCAGTGTAATTGTAACGTATTAGTAGAACGAATGATGAAACCAAACTTTTCATATTCTAAAGTAAATAATCTCTTATTTTATAGTGATGGGAATGGTGTATACTCAAAACAAAACATTAAGTCAATGTTACTCGTAAATTAAAGTAAAGCTGACTACATCAGTTGCGACGAATGTTTCTAGGCTGCATTGGAATTCTGGTTTGTTAGCGTCCTTATGGCTATCATAGTTTGCCTAACGAGCCAAGCTGTATGATAAGTTTACAAATGTGTTTGTACAGTTTGTATTTTTATATTTTACATTTAACTCAGATGAATTTACTCCCAAGTTAAAATATTTTGTTGTTCCAGGGATTATCGAAAAATAATGACTTTGCAAGTAATCAACTTTCTGCTGATACGAATGATTTTCTGGATTCTCTAGCAGAATTGGATGGTGATAAATGGACATGTGGAGAAGCTAATGGTGAATCTAATTCTTCTCCAGTAGGATGTGCTATCTGTTTTGGAGTTGGACTACTCGCACACTGTGGGCGTTGTAACCGGGCATATCACTTGGATTGTCATTTGCCTCGGATAAAAAGTATTTCATTAACGCCTAGTTGGGTTTGTGGTCTATGCGCCGACGATGAGGTTGATTCAGCTGTTCATGTTGAGCAGGCAGTAAATGGAAGGCTTTCTCGCAGTGATTATCTAGTAAGTGTGGCGCATATATATCTGGTGCCCCCTTGTACCAATATTTGTGTTCAAATAAATAAGTAGTAAGTCGGAGATATGCGGAAGAACTTTGTTTTCACCTTTCATTAAATCGAAGAAAAAGATATTCGTTCAACGGATACTTCGCGAGAGCACAATTGTTTTAACAATATTTCATATAAATGCTCAAATTCCTTTCATTCCTTTTAAATTTTATTTATGATATATAACTTGCACATATTATATGCTCTAATTAGAATTTAATAGTTCCATATAATAAGCCATAAAGGAAAAACACTTTCGTAACCTAGCTTTTCTCAAAAGGCCAGTTGTCACTAATAATGAATGTTTTCATCAGTGACGAGACATCATTTATAGTAGTAAACATAACATATAGGTTTCTCAGTCAGTTAACCATAAATAACGTAAAAACTGCTTCAGTTCAAGTTTTTACAACGTATAAACACAGTGAGATAAAATTACCAATATGAACAAAATAGGATAAGTATTGGTGGTATCGGTGGAAGGAAAGATTAATCTTATACAATGTGATTCGAGAAGGAATGAATTCGTGAGATAAAATGCACAGAGTGATTTCAAACTCAGGGTCTAAGAAGAAAATAAAGAGTAAGTACGTCTGCACCACTATGACCGATTCTAGGCCATATAACCGAACGTTTCAAACCACCAGTTGCGATAACCTCACAGACCCCAACCACATATTTTGATCAGCCTAGCTTTCAGTGACTTCATGGAATAATATAACATCTTGATATGGTCATTCCTAGCTGCCTTCCAACATATTCCTGTACTAGTAAAAATCGAAAGTAATTGTAAAAGGTAGTTGGACATACATAGTATATGTTCCAACCATCCCAGTCAGTGACAGTTCACAATCTCATTAACCGATTTCCTATTTTTATTGTGAGTCTAACTTCAGTATTGCTCACTCAGTGGTCCAAACATACACGAGAAGTGCTTCGAAGTCACCTGTGTTTAAGTACTGCTAATATCAACTTTTTTTAAGGACCATGTTTCATAGGCAATTTCGTATCACAAATGTAACCTGAACCGTTTCGTTCACCAGTTACTAACATTACATTCGAAGGCTGATGGATCTGTACGAAGTTATTATCTTACATTTGATGAACGAGTTTCTTGTCTACCCTGGCTTCATACTTAATAATAGCTTACCAAAAAAACCATTAGATAAATCCGCCCTAAGATGTTTACAATCTATCACTCATTGATAAGAGCTAATGATAAGACATCTATACATTCAACAATTTGAGTCGGCAGTTAGAATCAGTTGAATACCACTGCAAATGTTTGTAAATCAAGGCAATTTTGTATTGTTTTTAATCATAGTACTTTATTTCTTAAATGTTCGTGTTTCTCATTTGAAAATCACTTTGATTGATGTTGCTTAATCAATATTTGGTCAGATTAGTATTTTTGGGAATTATCGTTTCACTTTATAGGCAGGGTGTCGAATTTTGATGGGTTTGCTAGTTCACGAAGAAGCTGTTCATTTTACTGCATCGGTTTGTCCAGCATGTTCGGTTCCCCTTCTATCTACTAGTCAATCCATGCCTCATTGTCCTGAAGGTCATCTTTATCATCGTCTTGCAGAACTTCGGTTATACTTAGAAGAAGCAGCTTCCTCTCCAAATGGTCGTTCAGATACATATTCCGATCCTTATTCAGACAGTAATCAATGTCATTTCACTTGCCTCAGTGATTGGCTCATAGAGGTAGATAAATTTTGGTCAGATGCTGCTAAAGAAACTAATGTAAGTACCATTATAAAATAATAGAAAACATTAATAATAGTTTGACAGAAATAATGCTAATTTTCAATACATAAGGGTTTTTGAAGAATTCCATTAGCATTACGAATTGTTGCAGGTTTTTCAAAATTGTGTAAATCTCTCCAAGGAATGTCAAGGTTATTAAAATGCTTGTTCGTAATTTTAAGTCATCACGTGACGTATTATTATTGAATTGAAGTGTTAGTATATGTGCACAAGGTAACTAATGCTAAGGCTGTTAAAGTAACAGTTTTCAGATGGACAATGCCGTTTTCCGTCAATTTCCTAACCCTGATCGATTATTAATAAAAAGGCAAATTAGTACAGGGAAACTGAGAAAACTGTACTTCTGAATAGATAGAGGTAAGTTTGAATACTTGCATTTATTCCACATCTCGTATATCTTGAGATAAGTGTCATTCCATGATTTACATTCTTCAGTCTCGTTAGTTCTTTCTGATCTGTAATTCTTATATTTAGCTTTCTATTAGAGTGGAGGTTTCCTCACCTCCCATATTTCTTATCTTATTACTTTCCTCTCTCGGTTTACTGCTATGAGGTGCCATAAATCAAACCAATACACATTCATATGAAACTATACTTGAACTCTGCCTGACTAACTTAGAGGTTTCATTCATAAATGAGGCCCAGTTAAGCTTGCATAATATATGGCACCAAACCTTGTAAGTCCAAGAGTTTTGTATGAGCTGTGACAAATTCTTGGGCATTGTTCAATCATTTCCTTGGGACAAGTATCACAAAGTTGGAGAATATTGGCTAACATGAGTAAACTATATTCATTTATGCGGTCGATCACCATTTTTATTTAGATCGCTTCATCAAAAATAGGTTTGATTTTATTTTTTTCATCGATTCAGGTGATTATGCTTTTGTTTGTTTTAGATTCGTGGCTCCACTAAGGGGTGTCTACAAGCAGCACGTCGGCTTCGATCTCGTCTAAACTCACTTGTTCGTGAACATCGACCGGACTGTGAAGCTATTTTATCGGGCAAAACAATAGCTAATGATTTGATCAGTGAACCACTTAGTAATAATCCATCTGTTGTAGATAACTATGTACCAGAGCCGTATGTATTGAATACATCTCCCGTTCCTCTGAAAAACGAAGTTGGTGAATAATAGTTCAGTAAAAGCATCAGCACTTGTATAACCCGGTTAACTAAGCAAGCAAGCAGTTCAATATACACTCCCTAGCATATGTACACTATATATATTTCATATTGTATTATCCCATTTTTGTATATGTACAAGTATGACTGTTTTTTCATATTCCTTACTTTGTTAAGCAAGTTATCTATAAGCTATTCTTTTTTTGTACACTATACTTGATATTGTATTTTAGTGTTACGCAATCTTTTTGTTACTTGACAATAACACTATCTCTTCATTTCCCAAAATGTATGGAAGCATTTATGTATTTATATATCTGTTGTTTCGTTGAATGCTCTATTTAAGGAGGATACATAACCAAATGTGTAAATCGTCACCTGTTCCTCTTCTACTCTAAGGTATCCATAATCTGTTTTGCATATAAATATCTTAGTTGAGGAGTTCTCATAATATTGTCAAGTCAGAGTCTGTGTAAAGCTATAATTAAAACAAATACAAATCAACCTTCAACAATTTATGTTTTAAACATTAGCGGTGACCCAACGTAATAAAACAGGAGTACATTGATAGTAATAAACAGATTAAAATATTTATGGACTCGCATTTTTTATACGAAGTAGTTGTATCAAGATAGACCACACCAATGTTGGGCTGATTATAAATTTCAGTAGTTTAGAGTGAATCGGAATTGATTACTTGTCTAGTTATTAACATCACTAACAAGACACCTCAGCCGTTAACACCATAATTACTTTTAAGATGATTCATTTGAAAATGATACATTCTGAGATGTAAGTTGTGTTAGCTAGTGATCCGTTACACCAATTTAGGTCTAAAAACTACCTTATTTAGTGCGGTAATTATAATCATGATCGAATTTGTGATTTTATTGTCGGGAGTTTGATAAGTAGTCACATAATCGTTATTTCTACTTTATTGGTTTTTTGCTTAAAATTTTTATTGAATATAGGGTTATATATAACCTAATATCGTTGATACAGAAGCAGTAACCCGTTGATAATTAACTGGTTTTTAGTAATTTTGCTGAAAAGCTCAAATTCTTGTTTAAGGCAGCATCGTGTGTAATATTCATTGAAATTTTTGACCTAAGCCAAGTGGGAAAATATCATTATTTTAACAGTAAGGGTGTCTGACTTTGTTTGACTGGTCAGTTTAGTGTCAGATTTTGCATGACAAAACCTGTTGTTATAAATATACCTTCATATTTTGCTTGTACGTTGGGTTCTGTATTGGACTTTTGTTGTTGTTTTTATTCATTCCTAAGTAACAAACCAAATGAGCTCGACTCACCGACCACGTACAGGCCGTACGCATAATTCAACAATTAACCAGGTTGCTGAAATAAACTCGATTTGAACAACACCCAGTCTGTTCACTTCATATTTAATGTCCCTGTCTAGGATTTACTTTATAACAGCACTTGGCGTTGAATGTATTTACTTTCCAGCAATGGAAACATTCTGATCACCTATGGAAGCGTCCACAGATATTAAATAAATTCTCAGTGTTTAACTAGTTTAACTATTTTTACTGTTGTAAATTATAATAGACAAGTAAGTTACCGATAAACCACTTTGTATCGTCGTTTGCTAAGTAATTCGTGATTACCATTATGGGAAAATGGTTCTAGACTAAGAGACCAAAATCAAATTTCACAAATGGATAAACAGTAATTATTAACTATGTTTATTATTCTTACTCCGAGGTAGACCTATTTTTTTTGGTTGAGCCAATCGCAAATTCATAACCATTTGGTGTTAAACGAGACAGTGCCATACCTTATTTGAAGCAAAACATCCGCGTGAATTATCGGAAAAATTTACTGTCTTCAGGACTAAACACTAATTCGAGGCCAAGCTACAATATTTTGGTAATGATTATGTAACTATCAAAACTCGGTACAAACCATCATGAATCATTGAGTTGGAATCTATTGCTCACTGTTTGAAACTTCATTCGATTTTTGATGTAGTTCAGGCATCAGCCAATAATACCGATGGTTAATAGTTTTACAATGACTGATGAGAAGTAGTTATTCTGTAGCGAAATTAATACACTAGTGGTGTATATTGATTTGTATGGGTTTCGGAGATTTCGGTTAGGAATTTTCGCTGCATATATATATATATATATATATATATATTACATTGCTTTTAGACTGGATATTTCTTTATAAATGATAAAGTAATCTTTATCAGGGAATTCTTAAGTGAAGATTTTCCTGTTGATTTTTGGAATATAATTTCAACTAATAAGGGACCTATATTTCATCCATAAGCATCATCCATCGATTATTCAGCTGGGGTCACTTAAGGCCAACCGGTTTTCGATAATTTATTTTAATATGAATATTTACACAACTGTGTTATTCACTACATCAACTCATTCGATAAAGTAGCTTATCTTACATACACAAGTTAATGTCCCCGGCTTTGAGCTACACTATTTGTGTATGAATTACCAATGAGTTTTAGACTTGAAGTCATATGTAAACCAGCTTAATATAAAAATAAGGAAAATGTGATTTAAATTACTGTCATATTAGTTGATAGCTATAAAGTTATGTAGCTTCTTTGATCAGCTGATCTTACTAATGATACTAGTTATATAGCTTTGAAATTGATCATACGTTAATTGGGAATGTCAATCTTGATGATGTATATCTGGGTATGTATGCAACTTGAAAAAGATGCATACAAAATTTACGTATTTTGTCTGATTAGGTTAACTCTGTTTTTTTAAGGATTCATTGTATATGACATTCAAACTAGGCTATTGATATGAGGTATTTATATTTATTAATCTGAATTGGATACCAACTAACTGAAATGTAAAAAGGCTAATTAACTTGAAAGTGCAAGAAATATGATTGTGCTGTTATAATTCTGCCACCTATCTTCGTTTAGTGTTGTGTAGATTGTCTTTTTTATCATTGGCAATGATAAGTTGAGTGGCTGATTCCTAATAGTTTGGTACTTTCATAAGGATGTCCTTCGATACAGAACATTGATAAGCTGTTCTAAAATTTCATGTACCGTTTAATCATAACTGTTCCCTCACTGAAACAGATTGAGCCAAAGGTGAGTTTCGTTGCTACACAGAAAGATTAAGCTGTTACTAAGTACTGTGTCTCTGAGACTCTATACAAGAACTCAGTGTGATATATTGGATAATAATATGTTTATCTCTGAAGATTCTCTGTTTGCATTCAAATCGGATAGCCGGCTTTATTCATTGGGAATCTACAATCTCGTACCACTAACATATGTTATGTCTCTGAAACTCGGAGTGAAGATCCGATTATGGACATTCACTTGACCACAGCTAATTAATAAAGAGAACCGGTGCGATTTAACCCCCATTCATCCGGCGACTTGCTGCTACTTCTCATAGCCTCCGATAGCGTTGGTCTAGCATTAGGTTAAAGAGCAGAACAGACTCTCCTAATCTGTATTGTGGTATAGTGTCTTGTGTTCTCTACTAAAGGAAAAATTAAGTGTTATATCCGAATAAATAATAAATGAGTGGTAACTGATAGGAATTATTTATGAACTATTACATGTATTCTTATTGGATAACTATTAAGTAGGTATATTATGTGTATATTCGTATTCCTTTTATTATAAGCTTCCATTCGATTTATTGACTACTATTATACGATTTACTGTTCTTAAGTTATTCTCAGTTACTTCCTTCATACTTACAGCCATTTTGGCTTGGTCTTGTATAATTGTTATTTTCTATTTCATGGTATGATGCAGTCTGAATTGCTTGTATATAAACTGCGTATGTCTGAAATATATGATTCGTACCATGGGAGCTGAGAATGTGTTCTGGACTCAAACGGGCAGGGCTAGGAGAGAAGAAATAATAGGGATTCTAGGCTTCTCGTACTGGTTAACGCGTCATTGGTTTGGCACGATGCCAAGGTCATATAAGTCGGTGTTCTATTGGCGATTTTATCACGTGATAATTAACAGGGCATAAGACCATAGTAGTAAGGACTCAGAAGGAGAAATGCACAGTGTTGTTTTTTCGTCGTCTCTACTTATGCTCCCACCAATGGCAATCCGGATGAAGAGCAAGGTGAGGTGTACAGGAAGCTTTCTGAATTTCTTCAAGACGTTAAACGCCCAGACTTAGTAATCGTAGCACGTGGTTTACATAACCAAACAAGAAATCTAAACCAAATCGAAAGGTTTATATGAGTCTTAAGGTGCCCCATATCAGTAAACACATAACGACAATCATCCGTTCCAACTGTTCTCAAACAGGCATTTACTTCTACCAAGCACCAACTTTAAGCATAAGGCAATCCCCAGGGTTAACTCGATGATGAACACAAATGGACCTTATCATCATTCATAATTGGAGAGGCTTGGTAGAAGACCCACATATTCTGGAGCAGATGTTTTAACTCTGATCATACTTCACTTAGGGCACGGGTTTAATAACCGCCCGGGTTACGTTCCTAATGCTGGTTTGCAGGTAGAGCGTGGCATTTGAGAATAACGGATATTCGTAGGTTACTGGTATTAGTCTTGTAGGACCAGGCAGGAAGATAGCTAGTGGGGGTCAAACAAAGAATTGGCACCAGTCCATGAAGTCATTGATAACTGGAGTGGAGTGTTAATAGGTGTAGACTACCCGGTTTGAGCTCACTCTTTTATCGTAAATGATGGTTGAAAAATTTGGCTATTATGGTCCAGGTGTATTCACTCTTTGTCGTCCTTTAAAAATTCAGTCCTGAAATATCCCTACACCGACTTATACTTTTTGTGCCTAGTCTTTTTTACCATTTCTAATTCGCTTACTACTTTTAATACTGCAGTATTTTTCTTTATAAAATTATCTCACTGAGTTAATATATTGTCGAAACATGAACTGCTGCACAAATGTGCCCGATACTACGTTGTCTATGGTAGACAGACTGAGTGACTCACTGAGATCTTAATCCCAGCCTTGGAAGTGTTGTTATTGTGCTTTTTGATAGTGTACCATCTTCATTTAGTGTATTGCTAAACGCATCTTCAAAGTTTTACTAACTACACATTTTCATTTTTTGCATGTATTGAGATCAATTGATAACATTCAATTACAGGCTTACTTGTGTTCTTGGCTTGTTTCGTGTGACAGAGCAAAATACAATCCCTGAATATACCTTTCGTTATAAAGAATTCAACTGTCGTTGGTGCGTTTGTACCTGGCTTTAGAGATACTCGTGAATCTAGGATTATAGTATGATACTCGGAATCAAATGCAAGAAGCATATTATCAGCTATAGGATCACCAGAAATATATTAAGGATTTAAATTATTTGACGATTATGACGACAGATCTCGTTTATCACAAGTTATTTGAATAAAGACATTTCTGACGAAATGATTTTCCTTTAGATGTATGGATTACTGGTTCAAGTTTCATTGTCTTTCTTTGTAACTACATCACTTGAAATTGCCGGATTTTCCGTCTTCTCGACATAAAATTTCTTACTGATTGTGTACTAATTGTATTATCTGCAGAGACTATATAATATTAGTGGTCTAACTACATAGTTCTGCACTGCAGAAAGTTCCAGATAACCAAAAACTTTGGAATTGGTTACCATCTCACTTAAATCTTAGAAGTGGGAAATCAGAATAAGATGGGAAGTTCACATTTTCCATTGCGACGTTCTAGTTAGTGGGATCTTCAGA